ATGCTTCTATAACAAGCTTCCACCAAGCTGCAGACCTGTAGGTGATGAGAACGCATACGGGAGTTTAAGAAACATTGTATGATAATGTCTAAGACCTCTTCCAGCACTGAAATTCAGTTAACTTTTTAAAAAGCATCTTTTTGGCTATTCCCCAATACAAGGCACCCTAGGAAATGTAATACTGACTGAGCAGCTTTCTCCCAGTGTGAACGAGGGCTAGTCAGGTTTTCCTGTGTTTCAATATTAAGGTAGTTTCGTGTTTCGTTCCAAGTAAATGTGATATTACTATATCGTCTAACTCGAGATACACAGAGAAGTAGAATAACATTTTAATTAGTAAAAAAAGGGTGTCTTCAGTGACATATTCATTATCAGAGACCTTACCAGATGTGACAACAATCTGAGAAGAGCATCTGGGCTCTCTCTGTGTCCCCAGGGTGTCCCCTGTCATTGCCGATATCTTCCGATCTGCCTTCTCGCTGAGCGTCCGGGTGAAAGTTGCTCCTTCCCCACTGAGCAATGAGGGGATGGATTTGCCTGAGACCGGGACATAGACACTGCTGCACAGAGTCATGGCCACATGGCCACCCCTTCTCTGGATCTGGGAGCCTGGTGGTGTCCTAGCATCTGAGGAAACACCCTTTCCTCATTCGTAGTTACTCACCTGTGGAAACCACTGCAGCCTCCCCTCCTCCCATGGGGGCCTCCTGCCGCACTGTTCGTACCAGGGTGGCTTGTTTAGGGAGCTCTTCTCCATGGACTTAAGCCTTGGACTGCCCCATGCAGCCGCGATTGTGGTAGCCCGAGCAGCCTCCTGCTTGGGAACAATTCAAGTCCAAGAGCTGGTCTGGAGAGTGTTGATGGAACAGTGAGTATAACTCACTCTGTGCTACCTGGTTACCTGTCGATTTTTTCTTTTTCCAAGGTAACTTTAGTATGTAGAATTCTGAACTTATGAAGTTGAGAGCAGGAAATGAATTTGTTTTACATGAACCTGAAGAAATATCCAAAATGAAGTATATAATCTTTTGCATGATCACTCCTTTTAATTGATCTGTCTTGCTTTGTTTGGTACCATGAAAATCTAGACAAAAGGAAGTTGTATGATTTTAAATGTGTACTCAGACAGACATTCTTATGTTCTGGGAAGGGACAGGGAGGGGTATAGTGAGGAAAAACAGGGATGAGAACTGGTAATGAGACCAAAAAAGGGACAGAGAATTCCTAAGGAAGGCCAGTAAATCTCAGGAGGCTTGATGTTAACCATGAGCTGAAATATTCCACAAGTCAGTGACAGCCGTTGCTCTGCCCCTTTCTCATTAAGAGGTCTCTTCTACATCTCTCCAGGGCTTTAACTTTTTTTTTCAGTGAAATATTTCTCTTCCCTCCCGACCGCCCTGCCTCTCAGCCTTCCTCCCTTTTCTCCTCTGTCTTCTCCTCCCTTCCCCCTTTTTTCTTCCTCCCTTCCTTCCTCTCTTCCCCTTCCCTTTCTCTCTCACTTCCTTCCTCTCTTCCTCTGTGTCAGGTGTTGCTCTAAGTCCTGAAAAGATGTAACACAACAACCGATGAGACCTATTACTAACCCCACGTTAGGGGTAACTGACATCAGGGTGACCGGCACAAAGAGGTAAAATAATGCTCCTCCGTGACTCAGAACAGAATTGGGGTGACTCGGGGGCTCTGAGCGTGGACGCCTCTGCCCAACCGCCTTCCGTGGTTTCTTACTGCCTGTAGAGGGCACAGAGCTCCGTGGGAGGTGGTCCTGGACGGCCGTGACCCCACTCTGTCTCCTCAAACACATTCACCTCTCGCCCCTTCCAGGAAGGTCCTCATGTTATAGCATCATCCAAATACTCACTTTCAACCATAAGTGGCCTTTTGTAACTCTGCGATGCATGCCTTGTGTATAGCACTTCGTGCTTTGTCACACCCTTCATTGCCTGAAACTCCTACTCATCCTTCAGAACCCACAGCATCTCCCCGACACTCACAGGCTGAACTGGTTACTACTCTCCCTGGAGGCTCACGGGAAAACGCTCACCTTTCCGTTACAGCATTTAGCACATTGTACTGGGCGATGCACACATCTGTCTCCCCCACCAGACTCTGAAGTCCCAGATAGAAGCAACGGGCCCTTATTCAATGGCAAACCCCATGCCTGCCACCTAGTTTGTGTTCCTGGTACTGAGGGAATGTCATGGATGCATCATGGATGTGTAACCCATGTGTCATGGTACCAGTAGTACTGACCTTACATGTGAATATTTTACAACTGGACATATATACTGATATAAACAAATGTTTCACATGAAAATCCAACTTGATACAATTTAAAACTAGTTTATAAAAGGTTGGTCTTCCAGTTGCTCTAAACCAGGAGAAGCTCAAGGTCTGATTTAAACAGGCCTTGATTTAAGAAAATGTGACATGACCTACTTTTCAAAAACACTTGTACTAAGTAGAGTGACGCACATTTGCTCTCCCCTCTTTTCTCAAACACACTCACGCATGCTGCGTATGGCGACCTGTCCGTGAATATCTTTGTAGTTTTCTCATTCCTGCAACTTCAGGTTAAGAATCTTCTTTTTCTCTGTTTGTTTACTCATATTTGTAAGAAATGAGTGTTCTGTTGATAAAATCAGTATAAATTTAGGAGTTCAATGACCACATTGCGGAAATCGTGGCTTTAATTCTAACTTCACCCCACATTACGTCACATAGTTTGTTTACACCTACTTAACGAGGTCCTACATGTGATGACCTTCACTAGCTTCTGACTTCTTTGACTTTATTTCTAAATTCAAGCATATCCCTTTGGTTAATGTTATTTGGGCATTAAATGTTTTCTTAAAGTGGTATGTAAATACACATATATGTACGTGTCTATGTGTTGCAAGTGTGTGAATATTTATTCGCTGTCTATATAGCCCTTCTAAATATGAGTATATAGTATGTATACATGTATAGTCCATATATGTGATCTATTTATGTATTATATACCTATACATGTGGAGAGAGAGAGGGAAAGATACACCATATATACGCATGCTCCATGGTCCATTACAGCTCACTATTAATATATAGTTTCCTCGTCCTTTGAGGCCAGCTAATGGTTTCCACGTGATGAGGCTGAATGGTCCAAGTGAACATTCTGGACTAAAGAACATCGATGTAGCTACTGAATCGCAAATGCTTCAGTGAGCGCTGAGTCATGAAATCCTGAGTCCACGTGTTCTGCAGATTGCGATGGCTGCTCTGTTACATTTCTCTTGTCATTCATTCTGTCCTCTGGTGAACAAGTTTGTGTCATAATGACTGATCTGTTGTAAAGAGTGTTAAGCTGGAGGTTGAAGTGGACTGTTTTACCATGGCCTGCAGGCTTTTTCAAGCAATGGAAACCCTGTTCAAGCTGAGCAGGCCATGTTTGGGGCATCACGAGGGTGATCGTAAGCATCCCTTCGGCCTGGGAGAATTGACCGGGTCAGCAGTGTCGGGGTCGAAAGGATTTGAAGAAAAATGTGTTCGGCAGTGCTGCCTCTCCAAGAGGGTTTTGATCACATGACCTCTACAGTGTTGATCCAGGTGTTCTGGGTCCCTCTGTCCAATCAGCACCACCCCCCCCACCCCAGCCCACTGCTCTCCAGTTAAACAGGGTGTGTTGTATATTGACCTGTATTTGCTTAGCTTGTTTATCTCACCCTTAACTTCAACCAGGACATACAAGACCTAGGCTCTATATTTTCTCTTGCCTTTACTAGCTCCTTCTTAAATGAGGAAGATCGTCATGCTATCTTCACATGAGATATTTTTGTCTTAAATAGATGGAGATGAGAAAGAGACCACATACTGGACCTGTAAGGCCCGTGAGGTGGCCTTTAAACCCAGAGACCATAGTAACACAGGGTAGCCTGAATGTAAAACTTGCTAACTAGACACAGGTCACAGTGGGTAATGATTTTCCTGGGCCTTTACTTCCTTGACACCTTTGAAATTGTCTATTGTTCTTGAGCATCTAAGGTAGTGCACCTTTGAAACATCAGAGCAGGGTTTTTTTTTGGACCCATCAAAGGTACAACCACCTTTGATGGTCAGCAGAAGGGGACACTGCCCTGCTGTCTCATCCCCAGGTGCCATCTCCGTGTGCAGAGTAAGCTGCAACCCTGCCATTCTCTGCAGCATTTTCTCAATCCATTGGGAGTTTGCTCCCCAACAGTTGTCAGTTTGGCTCAGATAAACTCTCGTAAGACTTTTTCTTAGGCTGGACGCTTTTTTGTTGACATAGAGAACCATCGACTTGGCAGCCGAACTTTAGAACCCATATCTGGGGCAGGAAAGATCACTAAAAGTTTGAAAAGGTCCCCAGTAATTCTCTTGCTCAGCAAGGAGCAGGGCTCACCGCTCAGTAGGAGATGGATGTCTACTTATCATTGAAGGTGTTGCTGTGTCACTTGGAATGCTTTTCAAATGTGTGAAAAGCCTACCCAGATGATGGATTATTTCACACGCTTTCCCTCTCCCCCAATTGAGAATTCATTTTCAAGTGAATCCAGATGATGGTATCTGACAATTCGGCCTAGAATTCTGAAGTGAGGGATAACCTGTAAGGTCTGGGTGCTTCTTAAGAGGATACATACTTCCTGAGCGTGCATGGAATAACTTCCCCGCCAATTCTGTCCTTGCCCTTGAATATTGGATGAGGATTGCTTTTTCAGGAAACTAAAGGTGATTCACCTAAAGGCCAGGTATTTCTGTCATTGGCAAGTGGTCATGAGTGAGGATCCAGGCAGCTCTGCGTACTGAGGATAATCAGGACATCTAGGAACTATAAAAGGTCAGCTTCCTTACGCTGCAGTGGGAATTGTACACAGAAACTTCCATAATGATTAACCACAGAGTCTGAGCTGACGTCAGATGAAGCAAAATAAAAGGCAGTGCCTGTGAAGCATCTGCACTGGTTTCTACTCCAGAGTCTCACGGAACACATTTGTCTCTCTCCGTAGGTTCGAACCAGTGTCCAGCCTGACCACAAAGATCCCCTGCCGGAGATTGGGGTGAGTGTTTCTTTTGTTCCCAGAAGGTGCGTGCATCATGTCTTTAATCATTTGGGTTTTCCCTGGCCTCCTGCCTAATAGCTGATGAATGAGAGTTCAATGAACAGGGTGTGACTAGGCAAGGAAGCTCTGTCACATATTTGCTGGATTGCACGGAATTCATCTGTTGTTATCTCCTGAAAATCACCCTCCCAGGAATCCATATTCACTTCATCTGGCCTGAGACGGGGCTAGTCCTCGCCCCGCAGGTAGATGAGATGCAGTTCCCAGCTAACATTCCTGGACCAATAGGCAACTGGGAAAATTGTAGGTATGAGCGCACCCTCTTCAGGAAGGAGGCAGAGAACCCACCAGCCACAGGACGGTGAGGTTTTGTGTTTTCTTTGCCAGAACATGTTGGAACAGTCATGCAGGTCAAAACAGAAGGTGCCACCTACGTGGAAATTCCTGCCAATGGTTTCTGTTGCAGGTGAATCACCGTACCCCCAGCTTTTAGACGTTGGAAGAGCAAGAAAGTAGCAGGTGATTTTTGCTTCCACAAGGCCAGGGTGGGCAGTGGTGGTACCTGAAAAGATGGCCTAACAGGCTGAGAGGGCTCTGTGCATTTGAAGAGGGGGAGAGAGTCCAGAAATGTTGGGTCCAGGGAGCCCTGGGGGTACCTAGCTGCAGGCCTATTGAAATTCCCCAAAATCCTACAGGCAACTGACACCCTCTCCAGGTCAGTGTGGGAGCCCCTTACTAGGTACCATTCATTTCCTCCTTGGCAACAGCCGCCATCTGAACCTGCCAAAACAGCCCATCAAAAATACGCACCAAAGTTGAATTGCCTGAGAAGAGTGTTGGGCATCTCTGTGCCTGGAAGAATATAAATAAAGGGTACTCGGTGCTCTCTCATGCCTAACACAAGCTTCTGGTTTCTTCTTGGGGGCAGGAGGAATCCCTCAGACTCATGGGAACCTCCATGTCCGTCTTCTGCCTTCTCTTTCACTTCTTGGACTGGTCTCCCTTTCTCGGCCAGGCTCCGGGGGGACCCAGACTACGTGGCCTTCCTTTAGGTTCTCCAGTGCCTCAGGCCTTCACTGCCTCCTCCCTGCTCCGGGCTGAGGTCAGACACCTTTTGCTGGAGACCACCTTCCTTCAAACTGAGTTATCACACCTTTACAAGTCTTTCAAACAAGGTAACACCTTGTGGAATTTGCAACCATTGATAAGTTAATGTTTATTTTATAAGGAATTCTTTTTTGACATCCCAGAGGAGATGGTTGAATTTTCTTCTCTAACTGCTCACGCCCACTCCCAACTATTCTGTATTCAGTCCTTTTGCTTGAAGCTTTAAAGACATCTTGACCTCCTTGTGTGAATTTCCTTTCCATTACCTGTTTCTTTTCTCATTCAGATAATTGGAATACATCTTGCTCATTTTAAAAGCTGAATCTCTCCTCTGACTTTAAATTATTTTCTTCCAGCCGCTCTCGCCCCCGTTTCCCGCTACATACAGGCTGGCCCTAGCCGTGGACGGAGAGCCGAGTCTGACCCTCTCACACGTCCGGCCCTCCCCTCCCCGGTTGCCCGCGCTGCGGTGGGCGGAGAGTGTCCTCTCTGCTAGTCCGCGGGGCTGGGGGGTGGGGAGGGTTCTTTCTGCTGCTTCGATGCTCCGGGCTGACGCTGCCTGGTGGAGACCTCTGTGCAGCAGATAATGCAAATGCTGGCTCTCCTGTGAGCACACGGGTGTGCGAATAGTTCACGCGCCCACTTTCTCTTCCTAAGGCATAGGAAACCATGTGACCGTAACCGTTCAGTTGACAGTGAGGAAAAAGTACCTGGGCTCTGACAAAGGACTGTCCTGTGGGTTACGTGAGGGGAGATGTCATGCATCAGCGCCAGGAGAGCACCTTCAACTCCTCAAAGACCTTCAGAAACTTACACCACAGTTCCTGCATGGAGTTTTATAAGGACAGGTCAAAGTATCCTCGCTATATCCACTTAACCTCTAAATCAGCCTATTCAACAGAAATATAGTGTGTACCACAAGTTTAATTTTAAACTTCCTAGTATCCCAGGCTTTTAAGTACAAAGAAACAAGGGAGATTAATTGTAACATTTTATTTAGCCCAAGACTATGTGTAAAATATAATCATTTCAACGTGTAATCAATACAATTACTTATTAATAAATCATTAATCGCACTTCTTTGTCTTCGTGCCATGTGTTAGAAACTTGGTGTGTATTTTATACCTAGAACACATTTCAGTTTGGAGGCAGGGCTTATACCACGCTAAACTAGTGGCTGCACTTTGGACAATGCAGCTCTAGAAGGTACTTGGAAAACCTTCGGAGCTCCCTTTACATTTGAGTATAAAGGAAGCCTGTATTTTGAGCAAAGGCTTTGGGAGATGCACAGATACAACTGAGGTCTGGCCAGCTTGTGGCTACGTGGAGGGGATGGAGCTTCGTCTGACCCCCTGTGCAGCACTGCTCCAGGGAGGCGGGCAACCCGGTGAGTGGTCGGGAGGTCTGTGACTTGCTCAGAGTCCCCACAAGGGCTGCTGAGAGAAACTGTTTATCTGTACACTCCCCGCAGAGAGCAGCCAGGGATTGAGACAGGTGCCTTCCTATTTTCCACTCTGCTTGAAAGCACTCTCTCCAGCCAGGTGAGTGATTGAAATCACGCATCAAGCCATTTAATGATCATCTGCTTTGGGTGCGTGGACCAGAAGGATAATGGTGCGCGGCACTGTTGTGAGTGGGCTAGAAAGGTCGAAGCTGTGAGTGGTGCAGACAGAGGGCCTGTCAGAAGGAACGGAGATTGCCACCTGTCTCCGCAACAAGGCACGGTGTGACGGGGAAAAGCAAGAAACCTGGACTTGGACTTGGCCTCTGCATATTAACTAGTTCTGTGACCCCGTGTAAGCCAGTTAAGTCCTTTGGGCCCAGTTTCTTCATACACAGACTTAACCAACTTCCATGTTCTCAAGTGCCAGGTGCACATTTCTTAGGCCCGACAAGCGTTTCGTGGTCTGATAAAAATCCGAACTATAAGGAATCACAGGTAACCTGTGTTCAATGACAGTAGCTGTATAGGACCGTATTCCCTTGGCATCTTAATTTTTTCACTTTTATCTATAATTTTTTAAATTTATGTACTTTTCTGAATCTAATTTTTATTTTTAAACATAGATATGCATATGTGTATATACATATTTTATTGCAGGAATTTCTCATAGAACATAGGAGAAAATATATACTTTTAAATACTCTGACTTCTTAGAAGAGTACATAAGGCAGTCTTATCAGACTTTTAATTCACCTGATTCGGGATGGATTAAGTCACCTCAATCTCCATGCTGATACTCCCGGATGCTTCTTCCCATTTCCTCAGCAGTGTACTAAGTGGGTAGCTTCGACTCTAATAACAAAACTGTGAGGAAGATACACAGCGATCATATGCAACTTTCTCACAGGGAAACTTGGGCACAGAGGCAGGGAGTAGCTTGTCCAAGACCCCAGTTTGTGAGAGAGAAGACAGAGAAGGCTCCGTGACGCTGTCGCTGTCCCTGGGTAGTTGGCCTGGGGCCTGGGGGAGGGGTTTATTTGCCTGGATTTCCGTTCTAAACAGAATGATGGGCTTAGCACCACACTTTAGACCTCTGAGCGGCAGCTCCCAGGCTTTACATTGTTTGTTTCTCCTTTTTTACTTTCCCCTGGTATTGGAACTCCCAGTTCAAAGCCTCCAAAGTGAGAATTTTGAAAACCACACCAAAGGAGTGATAGAAAACATTGTTTCTTGAGTACAATTTAAAATACAAAAAAATGAAAAGAATTTTGTGATTATGATTACAGTGACAACAAAGATGAAATAGCTTTACATTAAGTTCTGTTACATTAGGCAGAACAAAGTTATTTATATTACATTCTTGTCTCCTGCTTTTCCCCATGGAAATTCAGATTTCAAAAATAGAGAAGGCTACCGTCCCTCTAATTCCTTCTTTTACCAGGAGTCCAGTGAATATTCATGCGAGTGAATGACGTGTTTTCCAATTTCGAGGGTTGCAGAGGGTCCTAGTTTTAATTATTTTGAAGTAAAGCAAATACATAAAAACCTTCCAGAAAATAAATGTACAGGCAATGCCACTGTTAGTGTCGCAGTGTGAAACAACTATACATCGTCATGAAGCTTTGGGATGTCATGCAGCAGGTAGTCTTAGTGTAGGTATTTTGAAAATAAATCTGATAACGTTCACGCCTAAATAACAGCTCCTGTGGTCTGATACGTTGCCCTAATGTAAAATGCTATGATGCCGTTTCCTGGGTTGATTTTTAATGCGTTGTATTGTTTTTGTGAGGTCGCCTATTATCCCGTGAGACTGAGCAGGTGGCTGACAGCTGTGCTGGGAAATAGTGGCCCACGGGCATTCGTGGCTCACACAAGCACTCCCGGTGCCGCCCCTGTGTCCCGGGCACTGTCCTGGGCTCACAGACGCTGATGCCAAGGTCTCACTTCCACAGAGCTCCTGGTTTGGGCGACAGGAGAGACATCCAGTGGCTTATGGCCACTGTGTCTACTTGCAGCTGCGCCTTATGGCGCGTCTGTTGGCCGTGTCTGAAAATAGCTACTCCACCTGTCTCTCCTTGCTACATTCCAGTCTGGGACATTTGCTCTTTTACTTGCTGAACAGACTACAATAACATTCATGCAATGTGTAGGGTTTTCTTAAATTAATTCTAAAACCATCTATGCCATCAAAATCTCAAAAAGCAAATGCTGAGGCATTATGAAATTTATAATCAGTTAAGACGTTTTTTTTTTTAAGGGAGGATAAGAAGTGTACAGTGGAAATTTAAATGAAAAATGCTGATATCAGTAAAAGAGAAAGTGAGACTTCTTTAAAGTACAAAGGTTCAATGAAGCTACACAGTAGTACACAGTCTACACACCAACATTGTTTTCATTTTCCACATTCAGCGAATTGTGGTAGCTGATAAATGGTGCTCCTGTACCTAACAGAATAACTTGCAGCTCATGCCCATGCCATTCATTCATTTATGGTCAGTAAATATTTATCACATGTCTGCCATGCGCGAGGCAGTGGGAGTTTATCAGAGAACGAAACAGCTCCTTGTGGAGCCTCAAATCTCAGTTATTTGGGTGACAGGTACAGTGTAAGCAATTGTGTGTGTGTGTGTGTGTGTGTGTGTGTTGGTGGCAATAAGTGACAACAGAGAAAAATCCAACAGGACAGGGACTAGAGAACAGCAGAGTCTCCATGTTCTTTTCTCTAAGGATATTCTCCTTGGCATTTCTGATGAAGTCGTACAAGTGCTTTTGTTCCGCTGGATCTCTCTTAGGCTCTCTCTGCCCCTTACTGAAAAGCCACCCTGCACTTCTGCGTGCTTGGTCCACACCGCTCCTGGACGGCCTTCTCTGCCCTGGTTCATGGGCATCCATCTCTCGTTGACCTGGCCTCAGAGCCGGTTCCCACAAATGCCCATTTTCACCTGATGTCCTTCACCTAACAGTCTCATAGTCTTCCAGCACCCGGGCAACTTCGTGTCTAAAGCAGCTCTTTGAATTCAAGTTAAACAATTGGGTTGATCACTACTAACATATAAGCATGTCTAACTTTAAAACTGGATTTATTTCAAATGTTGGCCTTTAATCTTTTGCAGCAGTTCTTCCATATTAGAACTTCGAAAAGAGGAAGGACAATTCTTCCCAGAAGCTTTTCTTTCCTATTTCAACAAACATTCAGTGTAGATGCAGCCTTTTATGGGTAGAATAATTGCACACTTTCCTCTGAAAAGACCCACCTGGCCCCCAGTCCCTCATTCTAGTGCAACAGACCTCTGGAGAGAGAATGTTCTGGAACATGCAGTGTTGACTCTTGTAGCATATTACAACCTGTTGGGTAGCAGTGGGTTTGATAGTTTCATGTTTACTCCTTGACCTTGAGGGCAGAATGAAAACCCCTGTTCATGGTTTACCCTAATACTGAGACTTTTAAATCAGGAGTAGCCAGGAATGTTAAAAAGTCATGAAAGATGTTTATCTTGGAAAAGAAAAACTGATTTAGAGTCTTATTCTTTCCTTTAGGAGTCAAAGAGTGGAGAGAGGGGATATTCACACATAGTCAATGCGCAGTATGACAGGTTAAAAAAGCAATTTTGGAAAATGTAGCTGAACGAGTACCATTTCTTTTTGTGTGTTGGAATGAAATTGTCCCGTGCTAGTATAGAAATAACAAAGGAAACGAACGCTTTAAGCAGTGCTGGGACGGGGGAGAAATACAGCATTGCTATTTATAACTTGTCCAGAGTCCCACATAAAAATAGCTCCAACTAACAGATTTGCTCATATCTGGAATACAACGTTACCGCTGCCAGGGACTTGAGGGATTCTAGTAGGGACGGCAACCGTGTTGGTAACTATTGAAAGTTTATCATTTTTCTTTCACCCCAGTGTTCATACGGGGAGAAAATTAGCTGATGGAAAAGTCATGGCTTTTGTAGGACACATTTTGTTATTTTCCAGGATACTTGTCTTTGTTTTTAGTGAAAAGGATGCATTTGTACCCCTGGAACTTACCCCATGAGGTGCTGGTACTGGTCATTATTATAGTTCAGTCTGTGAAATGTTTGTCAGGCCAAGAGATTTAACATTTATTCTTCCGAAGACAAATTTCCTGTAGTTGGTGTGACAGCAAAAATATTAGGAACCTCCAAAGTTAATGAAAACTGTTCTTTTTCTCATTCTCAGCGAAGCTTCCTGGGCTATGCCAGCTTTCAAGTGGGGGAACTGCTGAGGTCGAAGGAGCGACTGCTTGCCCTGAGCCTGAGGTGGGTCTCAGTCCGAGATAATGCCGTTCAAGTTCATCACCTTCAGTGGTGTTTACTGAATGCTGGTTGGCTCTGAGAGTCACAGTTCTTACACATGTTTAGATGTCAGTTCTCAAATGGCTTACAATTTTCCGTTGCAACAAGTTACATTGAAACAGCCATTATTTAAGTTCACATTCAAGTTCACGTTTCAGATTGTCAAAGGTTATTAGCCCTTGTAGAACATTGCATTATCATTAAAGTGATGACATGTTTTGAAAGTAAGAAAGCAATAGAAATAATGAGCATGTTATTAAGTAATTTTTGTTGTTTATTAGAATGTTACTTTTTGAATTGAGTGCATTCTTAGGATTGAAATATATTGGTTAGAGGCAACATGACAGGGTTTGTTTTTTTTTTTGATACTAGAGGGTGAAATGGTTGTTCTGTTTTTAAATCTTATTTTGCTGCTGTACTCCTACATATAAAACAGAAGTTAAAATAGACTCATTGTGAAACAGGGACTAGGTAAGAGCTGCTTTTGAGTGTATGTACAATTTGTTTTGATATAAAAGATGAGATAATCTTCAGGAAGTACCATAGTGTTTTAATACTAAGAAGACTATTAAAATATTTCTTTTTAGCTTTATACTAAATTTGAAACAGTGATGTTGTCTTCGAACTGTATAATAACTTTTGTAGTTCCGTACATGGAGGACATTGTCTGCAATATTTGTACAGAAGCAATGACTGTGAAAATGGTATAGAACCCTACTTGCAAATGGGAAATGCTTGTGTTGTGCTGAACATAGAGACTACTCTCTGTAAAAGACAGTGTCTTAAGTGTGTTTGCTGTCTGACCCAGCTGCCAAGGACCCATTTGTAACCACTCATTTTTTTAGTAAAAATGCAGTGATTTATGCTGGAATTTGTGCTGCTGGCTGTCTCCTTTTCTGGTTTTTCTTGACTTGTACAGTTTTGTATTTTGACTTAATAGATAGTACAAAATAATACAAAGTAATTTATTTTCATGCAGAAAAATAAGCATGGGTGGGTCACAATGGAGCCACCATCTTTCCTCCGCCTTCCTTGAGGCTATTTCTTAAATATCTGCTGTTTCTTTTTGGTGTTGTATTTTATTCACAAGACATTAAAAAATCTTTATAGTTTGCAAGTGTTATTCCCAATCAAGTTTTGTTGCGTTTATTTTTATTTTGAAGGTTGTAAGGGCCAGCTGACAAGTCTAGCTTTGAACATCACTGATACCCTAGAAAATAACCTATTACCAACCTAGCAGGGGGTTAGATCTGCCCCCAGGGCCGCTGAACTCAGGAGATGATCAGACCCTGAGCTAACTTAGAACTACTAGTAGGCGCGTGTTTTCTAGATAAGCCACATTAAGCTTTATTCCTCCCTTTGCTGAGTGACAAGCTGCAGTTTTGAGTTTATCCTGACTGTTATTAAGAGCAGCATGATACACAACATGTAGTTGCTGCCTTTGACACAGCAACCCGGGGACCAGAATTCTTAGTGAGATGAAAATGAGTTGAACATACCCGCTGCCTTTGAGGGGGGAGGGGAACCGAAGGCTCAAGTTTAGAGTACAGCCCTTGGAAAGAAATAGGAATAGAATAATCTCAGGTTTAGAGGCTACCAGGGCAAATTTCTACCTTTGGTTCAATACTCCTAATGCCTATTCACTTGACTTTGATGGTATATAAGAAAACAAGTTAAGCAGCATTGAATTGGGTTTTCTAGAAAAAAACAACTTTTGAAAGTCAATTTCGAAACGGCTAAGTTATTATTCTTTCCCTTTTGTGCTTTGCCACATGTTGGGATTTCTGTCCCTGTGAACCAGACACATTATAGACTTATGTCGCCTTTGATCTCTGGGGCTTCGTGTTTTTTACTTCTGACATAATTCCCTTTCTCTCTGCTGCCTTGATGGTCTCTGAGGTACTGAGATGAAGAGCATCCAGCTGGAGATAAGAAGGATGTTTTGGTTGTTTGTCTTGTTTTGTTTTTCACTGATTGTATCTGACTTCTATTCCTTTTAGAGTCCAGACATTTTTAAAGCAATAGAATTCTCAGATTGTTGTGTTTTCCAGTGTATAGTTATATGGGGAAGGCTCTTAAAGAAATAAACATTAGATTTCTGCTGTCCATTCTTAAATTTTTCCTGTTTTATGTAACATTTGTAGACATACATATTCCTGCGTGTATGTACATATCACAGTTTGTGTGGCAGTATATGTGGGTGGCCATCTGCATGATTTTAGGGCTATTTTTTTCTCACAAACTGTGAATACTTGGATTTTCTATCATCAAATATTTGTGCTTACAGAAGTTAAGATCCAAATTATGATATCTGTATGTTTTTATTTCTTGAAGTTTTGTTAATTTACCCTTTATAAATGCACAGGCATGCACACACACACTTCAGTCTTGTTGTTGGTAAAAATAAAAGAACAACAGGAAAAAAAACACGTATTTTTAACTCATGTTCTTCACTTGAGAGCTGAAGTAAGGCTATGAAAAGGCTTTTTAAGGCGGGACACAGTTTTCTTCTCTAGTGCACTCAGCGTGACTGAGACGAACCTGCTGCTAGCGGCTCATGTGTTGGGAACCCAGGCGCCTTCTGGGGCCACGGGGCCGTGAGTCCCAGTACGTTGGTTCTCAGACTGCGATGCGTGTGTCTGAACTCCACAGAAACCTGAGACCGACCTTGGCCGTAGACTGATGGTACAGTTTTAAATGACAAATGTCTTTTTCTCTATTCAAATGGAATCAAACTTGCTTAGAATTTTAATCTCCTACCTCTACTCTTTTCGTGCACATAAATGAAAGTTGTGCAAGTCTTTTTACTTTGAACACTAGACCCATTCTTTAAAATTCTGCGTATGACTGAATACTTTTGTAACAACATCTGTACAACATGTTTATAACAACGTGCATGCCCATGACCAAACCAGACACATGTCTAAGGGGAGCCCTCCCTTCCCCGTGTCTGGTGCAATCCAAGTGGCCATGACAGGCAGCTCCTCCAGGTGGCTTCTCTGACTGGGACACTGGCTCGGACCACATAGACATGTAGGAAGAGGTAACTAGCATTCTTTGAGCTTTATGAGGGGTATGCATATAAAAGGCCATCGTGTTTGATCTTCTAGTAACCGTGCCTGGAAGGTGATACTCTTCCTGTTGCCCTGCTAAGCAGACTGAGTTTCCGAGGTCACGCAGCTGGGACAGGTGGTGATGTGGAGACTGGGAGAGAAGGGTTCTCGATATCAGGGATTTCTAGAGAATAGATGTTTTGTTTAGTATCTTGGAATTAAATCATTGCAGAGCCCTGAAGAGACCTTGGCACCTCGGCTTCTTCTTGGACACCTGTAGTGGCAGGGACTCGAACTCGGAGGGCCAAGCCTTCTTCCATTTTCCAACAAGCCCATGTTAGAGAAGTGTCCCTACGTTGTCCTGAGTTTCATCGCCTTGTGGTCGTTTCTGCTCTCCTTCCTGAAGTAAAATGAGCCTCATGCCTTTTTTTCTGTGATCACATTGGAACAGCAGCCATTCCGTCCAACTATAAATTGTTTCTCTTTTTTAGTCTCAGTAAGGAATGTCATGTAATAGAACACCAGACTTTCACCCCAGACTTTGGTTCAAGTCCCAGCTTGTCAGCCACTGCGTCACCACGCATGTCTGCTCTTTAATATCTGTTCCCAGAAATGGGGGTGATTCTGGACAATCAGTAAATATGACGATGTCCTGTGCACTTCCTTGCGTTAGCAGAAGGTCCTCTACGGAGATCGTTCTCCTTGCTTCTTGTTCAGTTTGCTTGCCTAGTTTGCTGAGATTCTCTCTCCACAATTCTCTAAGCTTGTCAAGGGCAGAGGAGTCAACCTAACCTTTGATCTGGACACGCCATTTCTAGGATCTGAGGGATGGGTACTTACCTGGAACCTAAATGCTGACTGTCATCACTGTCTCACGAGAATTGATTTCTTAGGCACAGATACCAGCAAGAGGCTTGTGGAAAGCAGCTTGGCGAAAACAGGCAGCATCCCAATGGACATGGGGAAAAATAAAATTGGTTTCGACTTCATACTTTAGCAACACAGCGCTGAAATCAGAACAGAAATTTATACTTGCAACGCAGCGCGTCTAAACTGCTTTGAGAGTTTACTCATGCATTTTATTGCTGATTATACTAAAGCAGTCTGCAGAAGTCAATTCAAGAGACCTCTCTCAGGACCAGGCTGTGAGAGTGAAGGGAGTCAGCAGCCCAGGAGTAGGGGCGTTGGCTTCTGAAACTGCTTTTATTCTTTTATGTAACTGCGTTAATGTTTTTTAGGGGCTCAATTGCTTAAAACTATCAAAAGCTCTAACGTGAGCCATGCTGTCATAACTGTTAAAGTTGCATTGATTTATTATAATAAGGTAAGAGAATGCAAAGTATACAGATAGTATCAGATTAGGATAACAGGAAGTGGAGACATGTTATTTTGAGGCCAAATCCTGGCCCTTCTGTTGCCTGGCAGGCTGGCTGATTGCTTGGAGCCTGGTTTCCCAATCTGTGAAATGCGGGTGACAGTGGTGCCCACCTCACAGACTTGTGTGTGTGTGTGCATGTGTCTGTTTTCCGGTGAGAATGAAACATATTATACACAACTTAGGTTGTGTGCCTGAAATGGTATCTGAGGCAAAGCCGGTAAAAGAGAATGCTCATCATTCTCATTACCTACTACTAAAATTATTATTATCATCGGTGTTAATATTTTTTATCTCATGCAACTGAACCATCTTCTATTTATCACTTAAATGGCTCTTCAGTTAAATGGTATGACCATGGAGACCAAATAGCACTTCCTTAGTTTGCATTATTCAAAAGACATTGTATTTGTCAAATTGCAAACTTGAGTCTTCAGTCACTGACAAGACAACACACATCTAGAGGACTTCAACAGCAACTCCACTCCTTTAGAAAAGCAGTCTTCCCTCTTTTAAAATGCAAACCACACCGAGTT